TTCGGCCTTGTGAACAGAGCGCCGATTGCTGCCAGCTTTAGTTTAGGCAGCCCAATATGAAGATTTAATATGGCAGCCTAATACGTAGAGTCCAGCCCACAAATGAAGAATTAAGCAGCCCATATGAATTAATTATTGCAGCCCAGTTTAAGAAGTATGAAGCCCACTACTCTTTTGTGTTGGGAACGTTGGAATCAAACAGTAGGGCATTTTATTCAACAAAAATGAGGCATTGCATTTTCACATATTCACTGGCAGCAAACAGGTGGAGTGGCGGCGGTGTCTCCTCCTTTGCTTTGTTTTGCTTCTTATTTTTGGAAATCAAATGATATTATCATTCATATATATTTATCATTGATTTTATAATCTTGTAATTAGCTATTTACATTAGATTAGGTTAGGTTAATTTTTGTATTAATACTTGGATTATGAACGAAGTTTTTTTGGAACAACAAGAAGTGACGATTTCAAAGAGCTTTATCATCTTCATTTCGTAATCGGTATTGGTATAATTTCTATCATTTTTATTGTTATTATTATTTTTTCTACTTAGTTTTTATTTTCAATATTGGGTGAATCTATGGAGCAATTAATTGATTAGGAATAATTTTGTGTGGTTTTGATGGTATTCTATGAAAATATTTTCTAGTAAAACATCTATTTATGTTCATATGTCTTTAATCATGAGTTTAGATATGTGAATGTTTAATTAGTTGGTTAATTTCTTGATTATGTAATAGATCTTCAAATTAACAAGCAACAAATGGTTTTTGTGATTGTTTTTCTTTCACACAATCATGAAAATATTTTCTCCAACATGGTAGTGAAAGCATTTTGACTCTTCTTGGATTTGGTGACTTTTTGGTTCTTAATGCTAGTTAATTTTCATTAATTACATGTTTCATGGAAATTATGACTTTAACTAAGAAAATGTGTTATGAGCTTTTCTAACCATTGTATAAACTAAGAAAAGTCTAGGTGATCTCAAGCTTCTTAGATTACTATAGCCAAATTAGTATCCATTAAACCCATTGCACCACAAAATTATGATGATTAGTCAAATAGTTGAACTTGCGATTTATCCCGATATTGGAACGTTTTATTTTATAGATTTTGTATTTTTCCATTTTTGTTATTTTTGTAAATTAGTTTTTATCGCATTTAACATTTTGAAAACTCCCGATATCATTGTATATTTTTATTTCGTAGATCTGAAAGCGTAGATTTGATTCGAAGCAATCCATGTGGATTCGATCCCTATTACCGCTACTACAATTTATTTTTGTATGTCGTCGTATTGAGGTTTTTTTATTTGGTCGTCTCAACGCCCACCAAATTTTTGGCGCCAAATAAAAAAAAACCTCAATACGACGACATACAAAAATAAATTGTAGTAGCGGTAATAGGGATCGAATCCACAGGGATTGGTTCGAATCAAATCTATGCATTCAGATCTACGAAATAAAAATATACAATGATATGGGGGGGTTTTCAAAATGTTAAATGCGATAAAAACTAATTTACAAAAATAACAAAAATGGAAAAATACAAAATCTATAAAATAAAACGTTCCAATATCGGGATAAATCGCAAGTTCAACTATTTGACTAATCATCATAATTTTGTGGTGCAATGAGTTTAATGGATACTAATTTGGCTATAGTAATCTAAGAAGCTTGAGATCATCTAGACTTTTCTTAGTTCATACAATGGTTAGAAAAGCTCATAACACATTTTCTTAGTTAAAGTCATAATTTCCATGAAACATGTAATTAATGAAAATTAACTAGCATTAAGAACCAAAAAGTCACCAAATCCAAGAAGAATCAAAATGCTTTCACTACCATGTTGGAGAAAATATTTTCATGATTGTGTGAAAGAAAAACAATCACAAAAACCATTTGTTGCTTGTTAATTTGAAGATCTATTACGTAATCAAGAAATTAACCAACTAATTAAACATTCACATATCTAAACTCATGATTAAAGACATATGAACATAAATAGATGTTTTACTAGAAAATATTTTCATAGAATACCATCAAAACCACACAAAATTATTCCTAATCAATTAATTGCTCCATAGATTCACCCAATATTGAAAATAAAAACTAACTAGAAAAAATAATAATAACAATAAAAATGATAGAAATTATACCAATACCGATTACGAAATGAAGATGATAAAGCTCCTTGAAATCGTCACTTCTTGTTGCTCCAAAAAAACTTCGTTCATAATCCAAGTATTAATACAAAAATTAACCTAACCTACCTAATCTAATGTAAATAGCTAATTACAAGATTATAAAATCAATGATAAATATATCAATGATAATATCATTTGATTTCCAAAAATAAGAAGCAAAGCAAAGCAAAGGAGGAGACACCAAAAGCGACGTCACTCCACCTGTTTGCTGCCAGTGAATATGTGAAAATGCAATGCCTCCTTTTTGTTGAATAAAATGCCCTAGTGTTTGATTCCAACGTTCCCAACACAAAAGAGTAGTGGGCTTCATACTTCTTAAACTGGGCTGCAATAATTAATTCATATGGGGTTCTTAATTCTTCATTTGTGGGCTGGACTCTACGTATTAGGCTGCCATATTAAATCTTCATATTGGGCTGCCTAAGCTAAAGCTGGCAGCAATCGAAGCTGCTGTTCACAAGGCCGAAAACCCGACCAAAGCATGTCCGTATCAGCTCATTTTTTGTGAGATTGAAGATCAACGAGTTGGGAAGATGCTCGTAAAATTTCAGCTAAATCGGACAACGTTTGCCCCTCCGTATGATCGCTTGAAGAAAGCCGCGCAAAGCTATCAAAATCCGAAAAATTAATTTATATCGCTTTGTTTTTCTTTTTGCTCCCGGATTTTGCGACGTGATTTCAATCTTGGTTGCAAGGCATTCAATGTGGCTTTAACAATGCTCCAAAATACCATCTTGCTCGTACAAATCTGCACAAAAATTGCTTAAACGAGTAAAAATATTCAAAACAATAAATCTAACGATTTAATGCAAAAAGAATATTAAAAATGTTAAAACTAAAATAAATCACATGCTAAAATATATACAAAAAATCAAGCTATCATGGTTGCTACGACATGGGGACTGAAGGCGAGCCACAACTATTTTGTCTGTTAGCTGCCACGACATGGTTGATGGGGGCCACAAGGTAGAGATCGGCTGAGGCCATCTTGACTTGTTAGACTTGGATATTTTTATCGAGTTTAGACCCATGGGCCACTATGTGGCCATGGGATGGCCACGTCGTGGAGGTCGACTGTTATGACTTTGACTTTAACCTTGTTGACTTTTAATCAAATTGTTAGATTAGAAGATAGTCTAAGGGTTCACCTTGTGTGGTTGCTTAGGTGGTGTTTAGTACCCGTAGTTCCGTTGTGAGAGCTGATGTTGATTTTGTCTATGAGGTGAGTCTCTTTACTGTACTTGTGGGTCAAAGGCACCAATATCGGCCCACTGGATTATGTTTGTAGGATGTTAGTTGTCTTTGTGACTATTGTGGATATGCATGTATGTGCTTGTTGTCTTTTTGACTCTTGCTGATATGACTATATGCTATATGTATGTGGGGTGAAATAGACTCGTTCGGTTGAACAACACCTATTGAGTTCAAATAGACTCGGGGGTGAAATAGACTCGCTCGGTTGAAAAATATCGATTGAGTTGAAATAGACTGGGCGGTGAAATAGACCAGTTACACTTCGAGCTGATATGTGTGTATGGTATGTGGTATTTTGGGTAACTCACTAAGATTTGTGTTTACGGTTTCATGTTTATGTTTCAGGCACTTCCGGTTCCAAGGGGAAGAGCTCGACATGATTGCATCGCATCCACCAGTGTTCCACATTCGATGACTTGTTTTGTAATCTGATAACTATTTGATACATTTTATACTTGATTCGGGTTTTGGAATGTTACATAATGTTACAAAATGCGATTACCAAACTATGATAACCAATGAACAACAAATTAGAAGAACTCGTTCATACCTACAAGTGTGCACATGGAGAAAATCACACCAACAATCTTACATAGCAATGAGAAACTGAAATAAACACCATCAACATCAAATAGAACCACTTTGACAAATTAAAAATCATACCAACATTAATGTGATCCATACTTAACTTGAAGATCAGTCTCTTTAGTCTCATCAAAGAGGGACATGAAAACATAAAATAAGTGAAGAGCTAACTAACTATGCAATGTAAAAAAAAAGGAATAAATTTTTTTTGTAAGCATCGAAAGTTAAAAAAAGCTTCCGCGAAAAGTTAGAAAAATAAAAATAATTGATTGCGATTTTAATTTTTTTCCCCTATATTTAACACACATAACCACATGAACCATATTTGAGTTTTTTTTGTCCATCTAATTCACCAATCACCATCAGTAATTAAGTAATTTCAAGGCATCATGGTTTTTGAGCTTTTTCTTTTTCTGACGATTTTATGCACCAAATTATTTTATGGACAATTATAAGCAAAAAATTCCCACAAAATGTTACAACACACTATGATTATAAAACCAATAATAACTCTATCAAGCAAATAAAGGTTTCTCAACTCTGTCTAACACTCTCACTTCTTGCGATTAATAATTCCATATTCATAGGGAAATCGGAATTACGGAATTTTATCCACACATATTATAGATTTTTTTTTTTCAAAATTTAAACACCCATCTTTATCCCCGACTCCCTGTTTTTCTCATACTATTATTTGTTTTTATAAACGATAAAAGTTTTGTAATTGTTGCTTTGTATTCAAGTCATATTCCATAAGGCAAGTATTAATTGTATCCTAGTTATCTCAGAATTAGGGAAGCATTTGTAGATATATATGCTAGATATCATTGAAGAAATTAACAATACATTTTCACCGTGAAAAAAAGGATTGATACTTGTTACGCTTACTTCCCGCTACTTTCACTTTTCCAAACCACCGCCTTCCTCCGCCGTCAGCCACCACCCGTGAATCCAAATGAGGATATTACAAAAACTTCTCACCGCTGTTTTCCTCTACTTCTTCATCTTCACTGCACCATCCACGGCGCATATCGTATCTCTGAATCTCCGATCCAATAACCGACAAATAATCCCTATCTCGGATTTCGAATTTACAAATGTGGGTTACGTCTCCTTCGTGCTCTCCTCCATCACAGTCACCTCCACCTCATCACGGGCTGCTAATGAATCACGTATTGGTTTCTTCCTTCAATCACATGATGATGATTTCTACCTTTATACGCGTGAAGCAAGAAACCAAGACATCTTCGAATTCAAACAAAACACTAGTACTTGCCCCTTCGACTTCAAATCAAACTCATCAGTCCTCTTTACTTTCCAAAATCTTTCTCATGGTCCTCAGTTTTCCTTCAACAAGTCGTTCCCCATAACATATTCCGGTATCAACTCACTCTTCTTCATCAACTGTAACAACGAATCCGTCGTGACATTGGAGGGTCAGGCAGAGCTTTACAACCTGGATGATGGCAATAGCACTAACAAAAACTTTTTATTGTTAGGTAAAATATGAAAGGTTGAAAACATGTGGCTATGCATGTGAAATAAAAGAATCAATTGTTGGACGGCTAATGTGAATGGAAGGAAATTCAACGTCAACATTTGCGGCTTTCACATTTGAGTACTATTGTCACGACGACTCAACATTTGCGGCTTTCACATTTGAGTACTATTGTTACGACGACTCAATTTCATGTGCAAATTGCGGCTCTCTCACCTATATATATGCATGTATGTTTTGCATATTTTGTGTGCAAAAACTTGAGAGAACATCAAGTGTAGAGTGTCAAGCCAATTGTAATCTTGTGAGTTTTAATAAAATTCTCTAGTTGCAGCCCGTGGATGTAGGATTTGCACCGAATCCGAACCACGTAAAATCCTTGTGTTCTTCTTGCTTTATTTTCGTGAGTTTGTGTGTGTGTGATAGTGTGTTTCCGCTGCGTGTACCCGGTCCGGTTCCTAACAACTGGTATCAGAGCCAGATTAGCGAGGTTTGGAGGGTACAATCATTTTTTTATCACGCACGAGTGTACCTGATTTTTATCTTGTTTGTCGTAATGGCTGAAGACAAGATTATAATCGAAAGGTTCAATGGTTCTGATTTTAGCTGGTGGAAAATGCAATTAGAAGCATTGCTATGTCAGAAAGACTTGGACATGGTACTCGGAGACAAACCGGAGAAAATGGAAAAAGCTTTTGAAGATGCGTGGAACTCAAAGGACAAAAAAGCCAAGGCGGTTATTACATTGTCGTTGACGAAGAGCGTTGCTTTCAACATCATGAATGAAACCACGGCACGTGGTATGATGGAGGCTCTGCCAAATATGTATGAGAAACCATCGGCGGCTAACAAGGTGTTCTTGATGAAGGAGCTGTTCACTACAAGGATGAATGAGGAAGGCTCAGTTACGGTTCACATTAACAATCTAAATTCAATTCTGTCCAGATTATCATCTGTGGGAATTAAATTTGATAACGAGACTCAAGCATCACTGCTACTAGCTTCTCTACCTGATAGCTGGTCCGGAACAGTTACCGCTGTTACGAGTTCCGTGGGGACCAGTGGTATGACTTTTGAAGGGGTTAGAGATTTGGTTCTTGGCGAAGATATCAGACGCAAGAATCAAGGTGGATCTTCTTCTTCTGATTTATTAAATGTCGGAAGAGGTAGAGGGAATAGCAGGAATAGTGGAAGCAGTGGGAGTCGGGGAAGAAGTTCATCTAGAACTAAGAAGAATGTGAAGTGCTGGAACTGCCAGGAGGTGGGACATGTTAAGAGTCATGTCCAAAGAAAGAATTAAACATTGCTGGTGCTGAGAGTGTGTCTGAGGATGATGCACTGATACTCAATATGGAAAGTTCTGTGGACTCTTGGGTCATGGATTCAGGGGCTTCGTTTCACGCCATGGACAACGGGGAAACGATGGTGAATCTAAAAGAAGGAGATTTTGGAAAGGTACGTTTGGCAAATGACGAGATGCTTCAGGTAACGGGCATGGGAGATATTGATTTGGTTACTTCATTGGGAACTACATGGAGCCTGAAGGATGTCAGGGTGATTCCGGAGCTGAAGAAGAAATTGATTTCTGTTGGTCAGCTGGATAAACAAGGAATGGAAGTAAGGTTTGGTGGTGGTAAATGGAGGGTGATCAATGATAATCTAGTGATTGCTCATGGTATGAAGTGTGGGTCATTGTATATGGTTGAGGTATCTGCTGAGGGAAGTATGACCGTCCCTGTTAAGCAAGACAAAATCTGGTTCGCTAAATCTACGGCTAAGAGAGTTCATTTTGCAAACATGAATTCTGGAGCCAAGGGGATGTTAGCTGAACGAGTCAGAAATTCTAAACCATTCAGGGGATTCTGTGACAGTGGGAGCACGGGGTGTGTTTCGGGTACAGTTACAAAGAGCCGTTGGGTTTTGAAGACTAAGACTGAAAAAGTCTCTCCTGTTGAAAGTTTGCAAAGTTGGGAGAGTGTTAGTGGTCCTCGGTGTATCTCGGGATCTGGTGGAGTGTCCAAACCGGTTGAGACAGAGGATGAGTCGGTGGTAGGATTAGCCACGACTGAGTTGGAGCTAGTGGGAGCTTCAACTGTCCCTTCTAGTACTTGAAGATGAGGGGCGGCTGCAATTAGAGAAATGAGACTAAGTTTAGCTTGTTCTTAGGAACTGGAGGCTTGGAAGACTTGGTTGTTTTAAGATTACTGGAGTTGGATGACAGAGACGGACCATGTTGTTCAAACTTTCAAGTGGGAGATTGTTAGGTAAAATATGAAAGGTTGAAAACATGTGGCTATGCATGTGAAATAAAAGAATCAATTGTTGGACGGCTAATGTGAATGGAAGGAAATTCAACGTCAACATTTGCGGCTTTCACATTTGAGTACTATTGTCACGACGACTCAACATTTGCGGCTTTCACATTTGAGTACTATTGTTACGACGACTCAATTTCATGTGCAAATTGCGGCTCTCTCACCTATATATATGCATGTATGTTTTGCATATTTTGTGTGCAAAAACTTGAGAGAACATCAATTGTAGAGTGTCAAGCCAATTGTAATCTTGTGAGTTTTAATAAAATTCTCTAGTTGCAGCCCGTGGATGTAGGATTTGCACCGAATCCGAACCACGTAAAATCCTTGTGTTCTTCTTGCTTTATTTTTGTGAGTTTGTGTGTGTGTGATAGTGTGTTTCCGCTGCGTGTACCCGGTCCGGTTCCTAACATTTATCAGCCGGGCTAACGAAACTCCCGTTTCTTTACATCATCTTCTCCTTCAGTTATTCAACTCTTCTAGGGTTTTGGATCTTAGTATGCTTCAAGAACAGGCGCATCTTTAACAGGAGCCATTTACTAATGGGTGGGCTGCTTCTTGTGAATTGTGTTCACTTTATGTGTATTGCTGCGGATCTACATTACGTGAAGATTACAGGAAGTGCTCATGGATTGGATGTTGTATTTTACATATTTCAGCTTATGAGGGCTGTGATTTTTTCCATTGTGATCGTGTTGATTAGTGCAGGATGGTTTTTCTGGAAGCCGTTTTTGAAACGAGAGGAAAAACTGGTTTTGATGATTGTGATCGTCGTTGAGGTTTGGGCTAATGTAGATCCAATATTGCCATGGGAAGCTGCTGTACCTTATAATAAACAAAGCGGGTCATTTGCAGATGTAATCTACATATTTGCTATTTTCTTCCCAATGGCGTTGTCGATTACGTCTTTGAATAAGATTTGTGAGACTGATCTGAACGCTAATAGGAATGTGGTGAAGTTGTGGTTATTTTTGATGTCGACTATTGTATTTGTGCTCATTACGAAGATTCTTCTTCTTGCACTCCCTACACGGTGGGAGATTAATGTGGTAAAGGAAACCACCATTTTTATGTTCTGCATGTTGATGCTTTACATTTTCAGGCCGGTTGATAGGAAGAGGATCGCAAATTGTTTTGATAGTCCTGTCTAGGTGATACAAGTGGAACAATTTGATGTCTTTGTTACCATTTTTTGTCATTTTGCTTTGAGCTTCGGTGATTTTACAAACGCATTAAACATGGAAAATGGTAGTGGTCAATGTTAAGTGCATTATGAGAATGTTTTATATTTTAATATCTATATTTTTTTTATTAAAATAAGATTTAATTATTGTAAAGTAAAAAATTAATACTCATTTCGTCAATGCATTTCATATCCGAGCTAAGCTTTTGTTCAATTTTTTGGTCTTTCCTACTTACCAAGAAAAAAATAAACGACTAGCACATTTAACCGTATATGAATAGTATCATGTTGATGGAATTTGAAAGCAAACTTGCTAAAACAAGATATAGTCGCATTAAGGCTAAGGGGAGTGGTAATATTCCTAACATCTTGCCACATCAGTTTTTTAAATGTCATCTCATTTTTCTCCATTTAGCACTTAATTTTAGCATTAGGTAGAGAATGGTAACACTCCTAGCATTTCATTTTTCTTTTTGTAATTTAATTAAATTACTTTATTTTAATACACAAACATATTTTATGCACAAATAATAATCAAAATTTATTTTTTTAAGCCACCGACAATTAATATAATATAAATCAATTACATGAAAATAAGTATATTAATATTTAAGTGTCGCTTTTGGTTCTTTTAAATCAATGTTGATGCTTGAGACCAAATTTGTAGGGAATTATCAAATGAGGGTTAAAACAATTTAATTGAAATCAAAGTTTTGAGTATAAGACTATATTTGTAAACAAATTTCTAGTGAGGGTAGGAATCATTTATTTGAAAATGAAGTTTTAAATGGGAAATTGCTTGCTGCACACGTGCATGAAAAAGAACCAATGAGCTCTAAGCTTTTCTTTCTCTCTCCACTCGCCAAAGTGTTAACGAGATGGAATCAACAAGTCCTCTAGCGAGCTGATAGGGGCGGTGTTTCATCATTGCTAGCGAGGCTAGCAAGTACAGTGGCGACCCCCACTCCTCTTAGCCTAATGGTTAAAGTCGGATTAATGAACTTTCTTGCTAAAATAAGTTTCATTAGACTTAGAATCAAACACTATGAATAGCAAATATACTTTTCTTGGTCGGATCTAAAAAAAGAACTACAAAGAACATATTTTATCTTGTAAATGAACTAAATGAGTATATTTGGTTTGTATATATGTTTTTACTTATGTCCATATGTTATTAAGAAGATGAAATGAATAAGACCTGTTACGTACCATATAATTCTCATTAATAAAATAACACTTTTGTATTTATATTGTCGAAAAACACACCACGTTCAAAAAACTATTGTTGCAAAAGTAAGTAATCACATTTTTCATAAATGACAAATTTTCATAAATGGTGCCTAGGCCCTATTGTTTGAATTTATGTGGTTTCATAGAAGGTTCATTTCGTTTCAAGCTTCAACCATCATTAGAAGTGAAACCATATATACCAACCCCAAACAAAGATAAAATAAACTAAAAAGAATAAATAAGTATTTTTATATGGGTGCGAGACTAACCACTAAACCATAATACAAATTAAAATTATATGAACTTTTCATAAGATCGAAAAAATTTTAAGACTAAATTTGATATTCTAAGAAACCAAATTGACCATTTATGAAGATTTGTCCTCATAAATTATAGTACATTATAAAACCATTCATCATTCAAAAGATCATAATCATAATTATAAACACATTCATACTTTTGTTAAATATGAAGATTAAACGAAGTTTTAATACGACAAAACAACCTATAACTAGTGGCAACCCTGGGGGTCGTGCGGGTGTGCGTTGGCACCGAGCCTCCAATCGTAAAGGGGTTCCGTTTGAGAATTTTTTTTAATAATATATTATTAAAAAAAATTAAAAGATAATAATAATAATAATAATAATAATAAAAGTATAATTGCATGTTACAAATCTCATTTATATTATTAATAATAAAAATTATGTTTGTTAAACAATTATTCTTTTTGTGTTTAGTGGTTAGCCGGTAATTTCTTTAATATTTTATGAAAAAAAGGTACTAGACCTTAATTTAATTTTTGTATAAAGCCTTCAAAATTTCAAGGCCGAGCCTGCATATAACATATAGGATGTTACAAATCGATGCATAATTTGGATGTAGATCCTCCCAACTACTGAATAAATTACTAGAGGCATTTCTATAAATATTAAAACACTAGGTGTGAAACCCGTATATTATACGGGTTAATTTAAAAAAAAAATTAAACATTAAAATGTAAGCAGTAAATATTTTTTAATGTAAAACTTTAAAATAGGAAAGGAAGAAACGTATTCATTGCAATTTAATTTCATATATATTATATTTAATATTTTACATATATAAGTATATGATTTTAATTTTAAAAACTGAAACAAACCAGAAATTAACAAGTGGATAATAATTATTTCAAAAATACCATAAAATGATAAGTGTCAAAACTCAGATAAGTGACAAAATTATCTTCATTTATTAGAAAAAGATTTTTTTATTAGGAAAAGATTTTTTTGACATACGAAGAAGAAATATAAAAATTACCGTTAAGCCCAATGATCAGTGTCCCTTTTTTCTATTTTTATTTTTGTAATCACTGTTACAGGACTTTGATTTAGATAACAAATGTGTATTTTACTATTCTAATGTTTATCGTTGTAATCGCCCATAACACCGTAAACACACGAATCGAGTTTAAATGAAACATTAACATAAATATCAAACTAGTAAAGTTTCCCTTGCACGGGCCAGATATAATAACAATGTAGTTACATTTCTATACATATAATTGCAACATCGTTACAATACTTTTCTCTACTTATATTTCTTTACATAAAAATAGGAGTTATGCTATAAAGCCAGGACATTGGTTGTAAATTGCTGCTATAGGTAATGCATTGATGACTCTATACTAATGATCTGCAACAACAAACAATAGTCATTGATAAAGTTCATTCACCATTTTATTGATTTAACCAACTGAACGAACCTGGGATCTATAATTGTGATTTCTTCTGTGCCATCTTTTCGTGGAATAGACTGATGTAGCTCCATTCTACACCATCCAATGTCTTTCATCATTCCATAAGCCACCTTGTCAGTACAAAAACAAAATAAAAACCAAAAATCAGTTTCTTTACAAAGGCAAAGGGTTTAATGGCTCAAAAGTCAAACCTGTAAACAGGCCAAGGTCACACCAGTGTTTTCTGCAACTTCTTTGACATATTTAAGCTTTGCTGAGTACTGATGGCATAGCCAACCAGAACAAAATATTAAACAAACAACAAAATCTAAAATTGAAAATAATATTATGAATTATGAAATACAACCCAACAGCCAAAACAACAATTAATTAACCAAGAACAAATCAGACCTTAATTTCATCATCCGTGTATGGCAATGTCCTGGGCCTATATCATTATCAACGGAAAAAAGGATACAACTTTTTATTTTTCTTAATAATCAGAAAGCACCACCAAATCATAGCATATGGTAAAGGCTTACCTGGCAAGACCCAATATGGCATAGTGATGGGACATATAGAATAATGATCTGCTGCAGCAGGGGTTGGGGTTCCTTAAAATGACTCTAATTTCCATAGCCATAGCCATAGGATGCATCAGCCTTCCAAAAGATCCTCTGCATGCGCCTTAACATTATGCTCTATCATATTGGTTTTTCAACTATATACATGATTTATTTCCTTCCATTGGGCCTGAATTGAAAGGTTAGCAATTACTGGCAAACTAAAGAATAGAAGCGAACACTAAAAGAACAGAGAAAAACTAACATGATCTGTAACAAACCACAATAGCTCTCATGTTTTTGCAAACACTGTTTCAATACTTGGAACCAGCATCATAAATAAAGTAGAAAAAGTTTTGGAAATGAATGTATTTTTGAAGCACCTGTAATGCAAGACCTCAGTTGTCAATAGCCTGTTGTCAATAGGTTCACACGAATTTTGCCACAAAGTTATAAGTTATAACCAATGAAAAAGAAATTGTTTAAAAATAGATAGACAATGATGGGCGAAGGGGTGAAACTCTGGAATGGAATTGTCAAAAGAATAGAAATATGACAGAATTATCACCTGTCACGCATTTGGTCAGTAGGAAATGGAATGGAATTCAATAATAAAGATTAAATGCTTTTAAGTTTTTGTTTATATCTAAATAATTTTTCATTTACTATAAAAATATATAATTGATTTTTTTACATTTATAAATCAAGGGTATTTTGGTCTTTAAAATAAAAGGGAAATAAGGAACTAAATTTATTCTATCCTCCCCTAGGTATGATGAAACCCATCAATTTTTCAATTTAAAAGAGACCATGAACCAACAGTACAGTTCATTATAAGTACTAACTCCTAAAGTTATTTTGAATTGATAAGGCTTGGAAATTTAAGTAATATATGTTGTGTTAACGGAGGTTTCTGTTGAGACATAATGTTTTGTGTGAACAAAAATTATATATGTTAAATAAATGAAGATCAAGTGTATCGATAAAGCATCAAATCACAGGCTAATAGTATATTGGAATGAAAATGGCTAATAGTATATTGGAATGAAAATTCAGAAACTTGGTTGAGGCATTTCATCGAGCACTTGGAGTGCCTTATAAAAATTTCTTTCAAATGTCAACCTTAAATGGGTTGGGGGTATAACTGAATCATTTTCTTGGGGAATGATGCTGCAATATGAAAGCAAGGTCAACAACTTTTGGAGTCGAGGGAAATAACATACATGAGTCCAATAACATACATGAGACTAAGAAGGGAATATCGTTCTCAATAATAGCATAAATAAATGAGATTGAGAGTGGTAGTATAGATTTTAATTAACTCACCTTCCATGATGATTGTTAGAGCAAATATGACCAGCCAGCACCAGCAGTTAAGACAGGCGGCAACAAAGGAAGAAAACAAACGTGGGTAGGAGGTTTATATGGAAGTCGAAATTAACCCAAATAAAATGGCAGAAC